AGCTCAATCTCTGGGCGAGTTCCTTGGGTGAACGCCTCCAACGTTTCATCTTCGCAGCGACATCCTTCCACGCAATACGCACTACTCCCTGGTCAACATATTGGCGAACAATTTGCACCAGCTCCTTGTCTTCCTCCTCGAGAAAGGTAGTGCTCGGTATTATTCAGAATCCGTGGGTCAGGGAAGATCCAATCACAGCACAACTATGACATTCAGTATGGAATTTGGGGGGGGGCTGCACACATGTTGATTTGGGCATGCAAATTCATGGAGACTAATCATGGCTGAATTGAACTTAAGATTTTACAGATGTATCTTCTCAACTTTGAAAAACAAAAGTTTTGTAGTTTATTCTATATAGGTGTAAATAAAGTTATGACTGACTTAATGCAGGAATCGTAGTTCTCGGGTTGAATGGCATGGTGTCTACTTGTTATTATCTAAGAGAAATGGGTGGTGTAAGTTTAGATAGCGTGACCGGCATTACAGTTGTAAAATTGCTTCTAGAGTTCATTCGCGCTGCACTGAAAGCCTATTTGCTCGCTAAATTATGTCAGGATTTACGATTTAAGAGTTATTATAATTCTTGGGTTCCGAATCAAGTATTTGTACCACCCAACATTAAAGTTGGCGCGAAGTTGAAGTGAGTAGATTAAGTTTTTTTTACTTTCTGTCCGCATCGCCAATTCCACGAATTAGATACCTTCACTTTACGTGGGATGAGCTGTGATTGGTGGAGCTGTGGATACAAGGGATGTGATTGGCGCAACCACGGTCAAAAGAGATGTGATTGGCGGAGCGGTTGTTCAATACAAGAGCGATCTCACTGGCGACTGCAAAAGTTCCCGCCCCAGCGAGTAGCAAGCAATGACCCATTTCCAAATTATCCGAGAGCCACACAAGTCTCTCCAGAGCCCTAGCCGACTTGGGCAACTCGCTCGCCACGCCTGCTATCGCTGCTTCATTTTGCCTGTGCCATTCCCATGCAACACACCGAGGCAGTATCGACAAGATGCTGATCAACTTTGCCGACCAGTGTGCTACTCGTCGCCAATGAAGAGCTGCTGAAACATGTATTCCCGATTGGATCTATGATGCTTGGGTGGCGTTGTGCTCATCCAAGGTCGGGCTGCGAAATACCAGTACGATGTTGGTTCACAACGTTCGTTGTGGCGTTGCTAAATCGTCCGGACAACGCTCACTATTAAGAAGGTCCGTCACGACCTAAACTGCATCATCTCCTTGTGAACACTACCGAGGAGCATTCGGCAGTGTATTTGTTCGAGAACACGACGTCATCGCTGTGCAAAGGACCCGTACCCGTACACGATCTTCGCTGTTGCACGTCACGATCTAGTGCTCGCCTGGCACTACCAACGCACTGCCCAATAACGTACATTATTTTGTATGCGTCCACAGCCATCGTCGCGGAGGTGTAAAAGGGATACAGCTTATCCAAGGGGTACCTTCCTATACGTCGAGCCTTGCATGGTCCTGCCTTCGAGTCGATGATGGATAGTACTCAAGAGATTGCAGAAGGTCTATGGCGCTCCTACACAGCCAGCACAACGGAGTAACTGAAGTCGTTGTGACCGCCATGACTAAGGTCGTGACCGAAGGTTAACATTTGAACAGCTAATAGTCATGTTCAATAGTCTTCTATAGTAATTATGACGAAATAATTGTGGCAGCTATCTTAGATAACAATGAAACAGCTAAACCAAAAATAAAAATTAAAACAATCAATTTCTACGTGTTGTAAAGGTCCTCATCGGAGCGACCTCTTCTTTTTTGCGTCTGCGTGCTCGCACCAGGGCCGTCGGTCAGTAGCGCTACTGCTACTCAAAAGACCGCAGCGATCGCCGCGAACAAACTTCCCTAAAGGTCAGGGGTGAGTGTTCGTCTGGATTTGTTCAATGCAAAACGTACTTAGTGGTGAGACGGCATACATGTTGATCTAAGTATTCAAAAGAAACTGGGTAATACATCTTCAACTAACTGTGCTTTGTTTCCGATCGACCCGCAGCACCTGCGACATGGACGACAGCAAAGGAGGTGAGTTGCGGTATACGCTCATGGACAAGGAATGCTTGTGCTGGTCCTCTTTGTACACGCAGAGGAGCAGCCAGCTACTGCCGCGATCTTTGGGCTGAACGTCCCTTCGAAGACAGCTGCGTGATTGTTCCATAAAGCACAGATTCCCTCATACAAGAAACACAGTGGTTGAACCTTCTACACTATACAATCAGTTGGTATCTTGCTACATACAGGACAACCATCATTTTATTCACTGTTGCGGCAATTCATGGGGTCAACCAAAAAGATTACAGCGGCGGTAGGGTGACCGAGGGACCGTTCCTAAGCGACGGCAACCTTCTCGTGATCCTGGCATCATTGACGACACGTCCACTTCGTCCGGTGCGAAGTAGAGTGGCGGCTTCGGCTGCCGAGGGTCGATCCATTTGGGAAATGTTGTGTACTTCGGTATGCATCTCAATTGGACCTGATATCAGGCAAGATTACCCGCTGAACTTAAGCATATTAATAAGCGGAGGAAAAGAAACTAACAAGGATTCCCCTAGTAACGGCGAGTGAAGCGGGAAGAGCTCAAGCTTAAAATCTCCGTGCAAGTTTTGCGCGGCGAATTGTAGTCTATAGAGGCGTGATCAGTGTGGGCGCTTGGGGCAAGTTCCTTGGAAGAGGACAGCATGGAGGGTGATACTCCCGTTCATCCCTGAGTTGCTCGTGCGTACGATCCGTTTTCTTTGAGTCGCGTTGTTTGGGAATGCAGCGCAAAGTAGGTGGTAAATTCCATCTAAAGCTAAATATTGGTGCGAGACCGATAGCGAACAAGTACCGTGAGGGAAAGATGAAAAGAACTTTGAAAAGAGAGTTAAAGAGTACCTGAAACTGCTGAAAGGGAACCGAATCGTTTCCAGTGTCTATAATCCGTGGTATATTTCATTGGCGAGTGTGTGCGTGCGTGTGCTGTGGCAGCGGCTTTTTTGGCTGCGCTCGGCGTGTGTGCTGTGTGTGCTTGCTGGTGCCCTGTGCTGCGGTGGGACGTCAAGGTCAGTTCGTATGCTGCGGGAAATGGCCGCCGAGGAGGTAGGGCTTACGCTTGCGTTTGTCTGTTATATCTTGGTGGACGAGTAGTCGCGGTTGGGACTGAGGTGCCTACAACGTGTTTTTGAGTGGGCCTGTGTCTCTGTGTGCGCCGTGTGCGGATAGCTT